ATTAAATGAATGAGTTAGTTTTTTTGTTTATTTTGAAATGATTGTTGTGATTGATTATTTGTATTCAATTAATTTGATGGTTGAATTTAAATAATCATTTAATTATAATGAATTCAAATGTACTAATCTTTCCTTCTATAATGAATATTTATATCTGATTCCAATTTTTATTTTTGAAAATGATTGATTCATATTTTCTACAAATGTATTAAGATCATTAATCAAATTATCACATTCATTATTTTTACTTTCAATAAAATCCATCAAATTGTTAATTTTTTCAACATCATCAAAATGATCTTTGATGGATTCTTCCTTTTTTAATATATTTAAAACAATTCAATCTAAATTCTGTGCAATATTAGTTGTATTAAACTGTGTCTATTTCATCCTTATGATCATCTTGTTAACATTTTAACTTTAGATTTGATTACTAAGTCATTTTTTTAATATTTTATATCTAATATATATTCATTCACAAAATATTTCCTCTTAAACATAACTCTTAAAATCATAAAATAATAAGTTAAAGTTTGAAATACCTGGAGATTATTATCTAATTGCCTCCTTGAATTGCATCATCATTTATTATTATTTATATCTTAAAAGTTACAGCGCTATTACATTCTCAGACTTTAAATAAAAAATAATACCTAAAATAGTATTTCCCATAATTTAATTAAAATATGATTGAATTTATTTCTTATATTTTGAGTTCTCTGGATTATGATTATCCATAAATATTTTTCAAATTTATGTTATATGGCATATTTTAGATACGCTTTTTTTAATTAATTTGGAGGATGATTTTCGATTTTATTTTATTTCTAATATAGAATTAGTTTATCGAATAACATATCTATTTAAATGAGTCCCATTTGTTAATATAATATTTAAATTATTGATGCCTCTTTTTAAATTAACAATAGATATAATCCTTCTTTTTGAAATGGCTAGCTGAATTAATAGAATATTGTTTTAATTTAAGTTTTCTTAAGAATTATTAAAGAAAATGATTTTTAATTATTTGCTTTTTCTTCCATTTTTATTTATACATTCTTAATAATAAATTGTGACTCATCAAAGTTATATAAGTTTTTAGCAATCTAAGCTGCAATTATCCTCATTGATGCTTGGCTGATCACTTTATTATTTATTATATCTCAATCAACTATCTTTTTTTTCTTTAACATTATTTATTATATATTCCATCCGATTATATCCTGATTACTAAAATGATCATCATATTTATATATATAAATGGCTAAGAGTAACTTTTTGTTCAACCAAATATGATACAGTAATTCATCGGTGTTTTCATTGCATGATAAGCTTAAAGTTACTACCAATACCCTTCTTGATTAGGCAGATAATTTTAGTGATAATGGTATAAATTAATAATTTCCCAATTTATTCTCTATCCTTTTGAATAATTCATATTATGAATATTTAATCAACAAAAATAAATTATTAATGAAGAATTAAAATTTAAGCAGTTAAAAAGGATTAAGAAAAAAATATTTAGATACTGAGTTGAATAGATCAAGATCTCCTTTGTACAAAATCAACGAATAAAATCCATCTAGTTAGAACCAAACAAATAAAAATTAAAATATTTCAAATTCAAAATAATAAATTAATAAAAGTAAACAAAGCATAAATCGGGAGAACGATTTCTACCAAATAATAGAAAACTTTACCTATGGATTTTTTGAAAAATAACAATTATTAAATTGTACTTATCAATTAAAAAGAAAGACCCAGAAAACCAGAAAATGCAAATATATTCAATTAATATCAGTGGCATATTAATTTAACAAAGAAGATTCACATATGGAATGGAAGTGAATTTTAAGATAAAATATAATTCAATCAGAAAAATCATTTTTATAACACGAGGAACCTCATGGTCTCACCTCATCACCCCAATTCCTCACCGTCAGGAACTTATTTCATCGACCTGCTGGAGGCCGATAAAATAAAAATTAATTATATTTTTTATAACATAAAATAATATTATTGATATTGGAATTCAATGCTTTTCAAAAGGTTAGTTTAACAATTAATTTTGTAATGTAATAAAATTATGAAAGTATTTGTAGAAAATTAAATTAGTCTTATAACCTCATATATAATAAGATAAAAAGTATTATGGATAAAGAAAAAGAAAATTATAAAGAAATTAAAAAGTAATAGTCTCTAGCATTCGAGATAATTATATTATTTAGTGAGTAATTTAGTAGATTTATAAACAAATGAAATATATTAATTTATTCATTAGTATAAGATATTTATATTACTAATTTAGTTGACAATATAAGTTTGATTAGCTGTTACTCTTTAAACTTGATAAAAAGGATTAGACATTATATTGAGTCTTAATAGAATTAGTATGATATATATTAAGGTAGTGAATGAATATATATTAGATATAAAATATTAAAAAAATGACTTAGTAATCAAATCTAAAGTTAAAATGTTAACAAGATGATCATAAGGATGAAATAGACACAGTTTAATACAACTAATATTGCACAGAATTTAGATTGAATTGTTTTAAATATATTAAAAAAGGAAGAATCCATCAAAGATCATTTTGATGATGTTGAAAAAATTAACAATTTGATGGATTTTATTGAAAGTAAAAATAATGAATGTGATAATTTGATTAATGATCTTAATACATTTGTAGAAAATATGAATCAATCATTTTCAAAAATAAAAATTGGAATCAGATATAAATATTCATTATAGAAGGAAAGATTAGTACATTTGAATTCATTATAATTAAATGATTATTTAAATTCAACCATCAAATTAATTGAATACAAATAATCAATCACAACAATCATTTCAAAATAAACAAAAAAACTAACTCATTCATTTAATAATTTATATGAATAATTATAATTATCATATTTTAATTATTATGAGATTCATGATAATTTAAAAAAATTATCTAATGAATTATATGAAAAAGGTAATCATATTATATTAATCCTTAGGTTATGATTTATATTAGGGAGATAAATATAATGAGGCAATATAAATATTAGATAAATCAATACAATAAAATCCTATTAACCATTAATCCTTATGGTATAAAGGTGTAATTATAGATAATTAATAGGTGCATGTTTAATCACATATTATTAATTAAATCAAATAAAAGATGGTTAAATAAATATGAGGATGCTTTATACTTAATGGATTAAGTTCTTTCCATCAATCCACAAAATACATTTTCTCTTTAATGCAAAGGTATAACGTAATTGTATTTTTAGGGGATTGTTTAAGAGATTAATAAAAATATAAAGAAGCTCTAATTTATTTTGAGAAATCATTAAAGATTGATCCAAATGATCAATATTCAATAAACTAAATAGGCATACTTAACTTATTAAATTAGAATTTTGCTAGAAGAAATTCAATCAATGAATATTCAATAGAAACAATTAATTTTGATAGATAATTTTTTAGTTCAGAAATAAATCTGGACAGACAATGTCTCTCCATTATTTCAAGAATTTCACTTAACATTTCAATTTAATATATATACACAAATTTTAATCTAAATCTAGTTTTTCTTTAATTTCCTATTTATTGTATTTTTACCTCGCTTTTAGTGTTATAAAAACATTTCTAAGTAAAAAAAAACTTATTTTTTCAAAGTTTAAGATAATGTAATATTCTTGTATTATGATATGGCTTTCCAACTCTTCTATTATCCAAAGCATTTCTAAACTAATTATGGAACAAATATTGTTGATATTTTGGAATGTATTACGTTAATAATAAGAGAATTAATATTTTCTTATTATCTTAGTTAGTTTTAACTTTAAATGATACTATTGCCAACTTTATTTTTCGGCATTTCTAAGAGTACTCCCCTACNAACTAATATTGCACAGAATTTAGATTGAATTGTTTTAAATATATTAAAAAAGGAAGAATCCATCAAAGATCATTTTGATGATGTTGAAAAAATTAACAATTTGATGGATTTTATTGAAAGTAAAAATAATGAATGTGATAATTTGATTAATGATCTTAATACATTTGTAGAAAATATGAATCAATCATTTTCAAAAATAAAAATTGGAATCAGATATAAATATTCATTATAGAAGGAAAGATTAGTACATTTGAATTCATTATAATTAAATGATTATTTAAATTCAACCATCAAATTAATTGAATACAAATAATCAATCACAACAATCATTTCAAAATAAACAAAAAAACTAACTCATTCATTTAATAATTTATATGAATAATTATAATTATCATATTTTAATTATTATGAGATTCATGATAATTTAAAAAAATTATCTAATGAATTATATGAAAAAGGTAATCATATTATATTAATCCTTAGGTTATGATTTATATTAGGGAGATAAATATAATGAGGCAATATAAATATTAGATAAATCAATACAATAAAATCCTATTAACCATTAATCCTTATGGTATAAAGGTGTAATTATAGATAATTAATAGGTGCATGTTTAATCACATATTATTAATTAAATCAAATAAAAGATGGTTAAATAAATATGAGGATGCTTTATACTTAATGGATTAAGTTCTTTCCATCAATCCACAAAATACATTTTCTCTTTAATGCAAAGGTATAACGTAATTGTATTTTTAGGGGATTGTTTAAGAGATTAATAAAAATATAAAGAAGCTCTAATTTATTTTGAGAAATCATTAAAGATTGATCCAAATGATCAATATTCAATAAACTAAATAGGCATACTTAACTTATTAAATTAGAATTTTGCTAGAAGAAATTCAATCAATGAATATTCAATAGAAACAATTAATTATATCATTATATATTTTGCTTATAATTTTCTATTCTATAAAAAGGAATGGTATACTAATGTGAAAATTTTTAATGATACAAAGATCGACAACATCAATAAAACACAATTATTATTTCTTGAATTAATTTCTTTAAGCTAAGATCATAATTTTTTACTAAATTAATGTATTTAAGATTGATGAAGAAATGCACATTATTAAAATCCTTGCTAATATAAATATAAGATCCTGAAATTAAAAATGATTTTTTTAATAAATAATAATTAAATATTAGGATATCATATTATGAAGAATATTTTAAATATATACATAAATAATGTATCTATGTGAATTTTAATGGTTCTAATAAGATTAAATAATAGTAAAAGGTTCAATTCAGCATATGATATAATAATAACTTTAAAACATTTCTAGATATAATTTTTCAAAAAATTAATAAACGTAATTATTGGACTCAATCACAAAGATAAAATAACCTATCAATTTTCTTTACAAACATATATATCTAAAATTTATAGTTTTTATTATAAACAATGAATTAAAATAGAACTTATAATTTCAAATTATTTATAATTTGACTTAAACTAACTCCTATAATTATGTATTTTAGAATTCAAGATTGAGCACTTTATTAAATCAAATTCTATTAACATTTATATTAAATATGGTAAAAAAATAACTTTTAGTGTTGATTATAAACTTAAAACTAACTTTTCTTTTCCAACTCAAAAATTGATTTTGTAAATTTTCTTTTTAGAAACTCGTAGCATATCAAGAATTAGGGAACAATTATTATAAGAGGGGCAAGGGCTTAATTATGATATAGAGTTGATGATTAAGGTCAAAGTGCCAATAACAGGAAGGAGATTAAACCTGCTTTAAGTAATAGGCTCCAACCTTAGATAATAGGATTGGGTGAAAAAAAAATTTTGGTTAGTACTAGGCGATGGTCAATTGAATATCCTTTAGTACCTAAAATAGCAGGATAGTAATTAAATAAGAATAAAGAGCTCGAATACTATTAGATTTGCTTGGGCATCTTTTTAACATAAACTCCTCTTATTTTGGTGCATCACAAATGGGCTAACGGTTGATTAATATATCAAATATTTTCAATTTTTAATTTTTATAATAAATATATTGAAAAAAAAGATAATAATTGTTTAAATCAACATATAAAATTAAATTATGAAATTTCCTATTTGGAATTTGATTATTAACCAATTTATTCTTCCTACCAAGACTCGACTTGACCATCGTTTAGCTGAAACTAAGTATTAACAGAAGGTGAAAAGAGCTTATAAATTAGTGTAAGGCTTCAAAATGAAAATTCAAAATAAGTTCAGATCTTGTTGTTGAAGTAGCATAAGAGAACAAATTTATTCAATCGGCCTTTAAGATAGTTTTTAACTGAGAAATAAATTTGAGCATCCATTTTCCTAATTTATAAATCCTTTTTCCATCCCCTCCTTAAATTTATCACCTTAAAATCTTGTTATTTTTTATATTATTTACTATATAAAATTGTCCTGAATTCATTAAACAAAAATCTTTGATAAAAAAAATTCTATTGCTTTTTTGAAAAGATAGTATAGAAATCAGTTTTAAGTAATTGTTTATAAACTAAAATACTTTTATAATATCACAATTTCCGTCGTCATTGAAGTATATTTTCGCTTAATTTTTCCAAATACAAATTGTTATCAATATTTGGATGAAAAAATAAATAATTTTAAAATATTATTAAATATTTATCTAGCATAACTATATTGGTGTCATTTCCATTTAGCAATATAAGTGTGTGTCTATTTTATATTCAAATTAATATTTTAAATTTCTAATTATAGTTAAGATTTATTTTTATTTTTAACTAACTTTCAATTACAAAGATTATTATTAAATTATTACTTAGATATCAACTTTTAGACAACCTCTCATTAATAAACATATAAGTAATTCACCATATAATTATTCTATTTCAAGGATTAGTGGGATAAATGAATATTTATGTTTTTTCATTAAACTGATTTATCTTAATGTACACATATAATATTCTTTATAATTTAAAATTTATTTATATTTGTTTTTAAGTTTGAAGATGAAAGCATTACATTCTTAAAATACAATAGGGACTATAAAATGTAAGGGTAGAAGTGATGACTTTATTTAGATTATCGTTTATTTTACAAAATTCCGTATATTGTGATTGATTGGCTTGTTGGAAGTGATGAAATGTAAACTTATTAAACAGAAACAATAATTTAAAGGTCTGATAATAACATAACGATGATTGCGATGCGAATGTATGTCAATAGAATCAGATTGCAGTTTGAAAGAATAAAAATTTGATGATTTTGACAAAAAATTCTATCTTAATATTGATTAATATTATTTGATTATGGCCTTAATTGAATTCTATTTCAGATAAATGATTTTTTTAAGACATAAAATTAATAGAAATATAATTACATATCTGAATGGAACAGTTAAATAAAAATCAGATTCATTTTGTTTTTCATAAATAAATGGGATAACAATACAAATTATTCATTTTCCACACTTTGGTTTTTCATTAATTATAAATTAAATGTCTCTTAAGCAAGGCAAATTAGAGAATGAAATTCCATTTATATAAAAATTTAGTATTCATAAATTTTTGTTCTCAAATCCAAATTAATTAATTATAAATTTTTATGGGAAACTCTAATCAAATATAAAGGAAATAATAGAACAGTAGTTAGACCTCTTAATAGTTTGATTAATTTATCGGAGAAGTCAAAAATTCCTATTTATAAAATGATATGTGTAGAACAATGAAATTTAATAGCACAAATTCATTGTTATTTACTGGAAGCGATAAAAAAATAAAGATTTATGCTTTTCGCAAAGGATTACTATATAAGATTGGTGAATTTTATCACAGCAATTAAGCATTGACATATTTAAACTGCAATAAAGATACAATTTTAATATCAGGTTGTGATCAAATAATTAAAATAAGATCTTTAATTGGTATAAACAATTCAAAAGTCTAAAGGAAAATTTAAGTAGATTAAAACAGCTTTAGTTGTTTTGCAATAAGTGAAAAAAATAATTTATTAGTTGCTGGACTTTAAAAACATATTTATTTTTGGGAAGAAAATGGTTTATGTGTATTAAAATTAGATTTATAAATAATTGATGGATTTGATTGGGTTTACAGTTTAAGTTTTAATGAGTCTTAAAATAAAATAATTTCTTGTAATGGAGACCATAACATAACTATAATTTAATAACAAAATAATTAAATATAATAATGGAAAATTGTTTAAATAATAAATATGGATAACTTTGGAACTTAAGCAATCTTTTTTGGTGATGATTCTTTTGTTATTCACCCTTGGATGAGCAGAACTATGTTTGTTTATAAATTTAATTAATAAAATGATTAATTTACCTTATCAAATACATTTCTTATGCAAGGAGAAGGTTAAAATTGTTATTCTTTTATTTCATAATATATACAGTATAGATACATTAAATCTGATCAATGTTAAAATTAAAACAAAGCATAGAAGCAATTGTTTATAAAATAAGATAAAAATGAACTTTGTTTGTTTCTAGTAAACAAAAACTAAGAATTATAAATTTTCTAGAAGGTTAGATTACAGGAAACGTATATTTGGGGAACAATGAGTAATGATGGATTATGGCTAATTGTATGGGAACAAGCTTCAAAATTACTAAAAGTGATATCTTGTTTTAAATATTGAAAAATAAATTACATATTTCAAGATTATATATGATTATTTTAAAATATTTTAGAATTACATAAAACATATTGTTTTTATAAGAATAATATCATTATTTAATCTTATTACAAAAGTTAATATTAAACTTAATCTAAAATTTAATTATTCTTAATTAATTTAAGAATTTATTTTCAAATAGATAATATTACTTTAAAGATATGAGTTTTCTTGTAGAAGTTTAAATAACGTCATTAAATTAAAAATACATAATAATAATAATTTAATCATATTGAATCTATTTGTTTCTTTTGGCTTAGAAGGTTTTGTCTCTATCTTTGAGATATTTTTTTATCTTGACTTAAGTGATGTTTCCATAATATTCATTGATTGCTAGTTCCTTAGTCTTATTTAATTTCAGAGTTAATTTTAGGAATAAGGTCTTAAAAATAGTGTCGTCTTTTAACAAAAGTAAATGATATATATATTCTATTGGTTTTTCAGCTAGGGCATTACCTAAAATCAAGNTAATTGATGGATTTGATTGGGTTTACAGTTTAAGTTTTAATGAGTCTTAAAATAAAATAATTTCTTGTAATGGAGACCATAACATAACTATAATTTAATAACAAAATAATTAAATATAATAATGGAAAATTGTTTAAATAATAAATATGGATAACTTTGGAACTTAAGCAATCTTTTTTGGTGATGATTCTTTTGTTATTCACCCTTGGATGAGCAGAACTATGTTTGTTTATAAATTTAATTAATAAAATGATTAATTTACCTTATCAAATACATTTCTTATGCAAGGAGAAGGTTAAAATTGTTATTCTTTTATTTCATAATATATACAGTATAGATACATTAAATCTGATCAATGTTAAAATTAAAACAAAGCATAGAAGCAATTGTTTATAAAATAAGATAAAAATGAACTTTGTTTGTTTCTAGTAAACAAAAACTAAGAATTATAAATTTTCTAGAAGGTTAGATTACAGGAAACGTATATTTGGGGAACAATGAGTAATGATGGATTATGGCTAATTGTATGGGAACAAGCTTCAAAATTACTAAAAGTGATATCTTGTTTTAAATATTGAAAAATAAATTACATATTTCAAGATTATATATGATTATTTTAAAATATTTTAGAATTACATAAAACATATTGTTTTTATAAGAATAATATCATTATTTAATCTTATTACAAAAGTTAATATTAAACTTAATCTAAAATTTAATTATTCTTAATTAATTTAAGAATTTATTTTCAAATAGATAATATTACTTTAAAGATATGAGTTTTCTTGTAGAAGTTTAAATAACGTCATTAAATTAAAAATACATAATAATAATAATTTAATCATATTGAATCTATTTGTTTCTTTTGGCTTAGAAGGTTTTGTCTCTATCTTTGAGATATTTTTTTATCTTGACTTAAGTGATGTTTCCATAATATTCATTGATTGCTAGTTCCTTAGTCTTATTTAATTTCAGAGTTAATTTTAGGAATAAGGTCTTAAAAATAGTGTCGTCTTTTAACAAAAGTAAATGATATATATATTCTATTGGTTTTTCAGCTAGGGCATTACCTAAAATCAAGGGTTCATCCTTTTCCTTTTTGGTTTTATTATGGGTTTCTTCTTCGTCCACCCTATTACTTTTCTTAATTGGATGATCCAATTTTTGTCCATTTACTTATACTTCCTCCTCTCTCTATTACACTTCCTTGTTATCTGAGGAGTCTTGTTGCACATTACCTTCTTTAGTTTTGTTAAATATTTTCTCCAATTAATTCTTAGGACCCTTATGTCTTTATTATCTTCTTGATATAATCTATGTAGTAGTTCAAGTTGGGATTTATTAAGCCATATATTATGAAGATCACAATCCTCATCGATCATGACATTATAGATTTTCTTAGGTCTAGTTGACAGTTATTAGGTGCTTTTTTTGGAATTTGCTAGCAGAGTGTACGACTATATGACCTAAGAGTTTTTCTTCCAACATGTTTTTGGTATAGGGTATATTGCTATTATCACTGAATCTGATTGTGCATTCTGATATTTTCTAATTAATTCTAAAATTAATTTTTTTTAATTATTAAAAAAAACCCATCTTCCTTTTCTAGTGAATTTTCTCTTTGAGTTGATCATTGGTGGGGCTTAAATTATTTTGTATTTGGTTCATCTTATGTCATTCTCTTCTTCAATCTAATGTCTCTTCATTAGCTCCTACAAATATCCCAGGGGCTTACATTTGACCTAATTGTCTATCCAACAGTCTTTAATTCTTTTGATCACGCCTTCTTTACCAAATGATGTATTTCCTGTTTTAGGTCTTCCTAAGAAGAACATCTCAAGGATTCTGTCTCCGGTTCTTTAGAAAATAATATCCAAATATAATATTCACAAAGTACTTTACTTTCACGGAGGTTCCTCTCAAAGCTCCAAGTGATGTGCTGTTCTTTTTGGCTTGGTGAGGTTCTTGTCTAGAGTTCTTTGGACATGATATTTTATTTTTTTAATAAATTATTTTAAAAAATACTTTTATTTTAAATGAATAGTATAATAAATAAACTTTTTTAAAATATTCATTTCATTCTTATTTAGATCTTTTTTAATACTCAATTATTATCATCTTTCTTATATATCAATAACGTTATTCTGTTATTGTTATTTGTTTAGATAAATGTTACTTTAAGCTATTTTACTGTTAATATTTATAATTGTTTATTACCATATCAGCCTATATAATAAAATCTGTTAATATAGAGTAAATAAAATATTGTTCCTCAATATTAATTCAATATATCGATAATATTTTCTAACAATAGATTGTATAAACTTGGAATTATCGAAGTTGTAGAAATAACTATTTAAATTATAAACTAAGTCTTTAATTATTCAATAAATTACCCATCATTTTTATATATAATTCTTCTGTAACTTCAGTATTCAATATTAATTAATTTACATTTTTAATTTATAAATAAATGAACTTTAATATATTCCTAAATAAAGTATTATTTTCTTATAGAGTTTACATTTATATAGCCTTATAGAAATCTAAGAATTAATCGAAGACTAAAAGAATTATAGTCTTCCAATTGAGATATTTCTCTTTTCTAATGTATTTATTGATGATTTCTAATTTACATAAACTTATTCAACTTTAACTATAATTCTTAATAGACAAGTAAGTTATTGTAGGTCAACATAAAAATAATGTAATTTGATGTATATTGATCAGAAGATTAAAAAGCAATCAAATTAGAAAATTTACGATTTAATCATTTTAATTGATGACTTATTTTTTGTTTTATAGTATAATTAATCCATTATAATATTAAATAGTGACTTAATAATGCTATAAAATAACTTTCATAGCAACTAAATTTTAGTAAATTTTTTAAATCAACCTCAGATAATTACAAATTGTATTCAATTTATTAAAATAGCTTTGTTTATTATAAAATAATTCTTTTTATTTTCCATATTGTCTAACCCTCGGTTAAAAAATAATCGAATCAATATTACATTGCTAGAACTTATAAAACTTAACTATTTCAAACATATGAAAAAATAATCAAGATTTTCTAATAAAATTTTATCTTAGGTTCATAAGATAAGGAGGACAAAAAATTATAAAGCAAATCCAAATACCATGATTCTATTGGTTTAATAATATCTAATTTTAACTTAGTCCAGATCTATACAAATTATTAATGTCAATAATTTTCTGTTGCCTATTTCAGGTTAAATTATGTAAACATTTAATAATCTTGTAATTTTACTCTTGATAGAAATTGTTGATTAAATTAAATTTAATAAATTTCTATACATAATAATCTTTATGACTTATTTTAATATTAAACAAGTAAAAAGCCTAATTAATCTCACAATTCTTATTTGAAATGACAATTTTACTAAATAAATAATGATTTAAAAATTAGCAATTTTGAGTAAACCAATTTTTATGTAAGATTTATTTTCATTTAATTTATCCTCAGCTTAATATGAAATGATTGTAAATAAAAAATACAGTTATCTAATTAATTAACAAGAAATTCAAATGAAATATTAAAATTAACTTAGAATACTATAAGATTGCTCTAAAAGGTTTCAAACTATATCTAGATGGTTTATATTTTGATAAAAATCTTATAAACAGTTATTCAATAAATATAAATGTATATAAAAAATATCTCCATATTGTTAGAGTTATTATTCAAAAGTTACTTATAACAATGAATTCTAATGTGTTAGACAAAACTTAATGAAAAAGTTGTAAATCTTATAACATAAAATACTACGATTAATTTGATAAATTGAGTTATAATCTTAAGTAGACAAAATTATTCCCTTATGTGAATTTCAAGATGCTAATATTTAGAGGAATCAATATTAAGCAAAAATTTTAACTTTTTTATTTTTGAAAAATAATTGAAATACCATTATTGTTACTCAAAAAAATTATTAGTTTTTTAAGAGTTCAATTAAATCATATAAAACTACCTTCTTATCTGCCTAAAACCTCATCAATAAAATAAATTCTTAAATCCTTACTTAGTCTATTACAATTTAAATTGTTACTTTTTTTAACTTCTAATAAAACTATAATACAATAAGAAAAAATCTTCTAATCACAGCAATTCCATATTTTCACCATAAATTTGATTATTTTCATTATTCAACCTTTTTTTACAAATGATTAAAGGTTTTAAAAGTGCTAACCATATTATAACATTTTTGGATTTTTTGAAAATAGTAAAGCTTTAGAGACTTTAATAGCATCAGACCTATTTCTATTGATCATTGATCAATGAATTTGATTCTAAAGAATCTGGGATTATTAATAATTATCTTTTATTCATAAAAATTTATAGATTTATCTTAAATTGATTTAATTAACCAGCTTGGTGTTTATAACTTGTCTTTTAGAATTAGTCTTTCAAAGGTATTTATAGTTTATAGACAAGTTTTATGAAGGGATCTCTCTCACTTTCCTTCTTAGGACATTTATATTTTAACCATTGAACAAATTAATTCTTCAAATTCTATGATTATGAGCTAATATAAAATAAAAGCTCTATTAAACTTTATATTTTTCTTAAGAGTATCCTTTAAGGTTATAGTATAGGATATATATAACTGTTTTTTCTTTGATTAGCCTCGATGATGACTTGAATAACTCACTGAAAGTTTGTCCTTATCTTGTCTTTATCGTATTCGATAGCAGGGGATTCCGAATCTTAACTGCCAGCTTCACAAGTGGAAAGATTGTCAGAGAGTCAAAGAAACCGTAATCACAAGCTTGGGTTGAGGAATCCATTAAATAAGTTGTGTTCCTATGACTCCAACCCTCACAAAATATTATGATTTAATTAAAGTTATCCTAGTCCTTATTTTACTTCACTCATTTATTAATCAGGTTCATTTTTGTATTTTAATTGAGTCGGAAAATAATATTATACAATTACTCTTTAATTTACATCACAGAATTAATAAACTTTTGATTTTATCTCTTGACTTTTTGATATTCTTATCCTAATTCATCAACATGTATTTTATTATTAGGAGGGATTGCAAAATTGAATTTCCAATTGAATGTTTTCACTATTAAATAGTGCCCCTTGATGATATTTTATATAAAAATTATTAATCTCTGAAAAATTAAGGATAACTGGAATTTGTGTAAATTTAAATAGTGAGAATGATCAAGTTGATAATCTAATATTTTATATTTTTACATTTTGTCCAAATATTAATATTTGTTTAAAAGATTGAAAGAATTTGAAAAGATACAGTCCAAGCTCAAATTAAAATTTTATAAATAGAAAGGGGAAGGTTAATAATTCTCTTATCTGATCCAAAGTTAGTTAAAACTAGACCGGAATTATGTAGTTATAATATTTCATAATCTCTGGTATTAAAATATGATTATTTATAATAATAAAACTGCTGTAGAAAATATTAAAATTTTTATATATTCATATATGAATATATTAACTTCAAGGTTACTTTTATAACATTTCTAAAGGTTCCAATAAGGCATAGTCATTTTCTATATCTAAAGAATTAGCTGGTTTAACAGTTAATCTATTTGACTCTTTACTATTTTGATTATCCATGTAGTGATTGGACAATTTTGCTCCCATTTAATGACTTTATTATAGAACTTAATCTCCAAATTATTGTTAAATAATAAATTATAATCTTGAAATTTCATATAATATGTTATCTAATCTGCATTTTTCTTTTGCTCTTTTTATAAAGTTTTTATATTTATATTTAATGTTTTCAAGTGAACTATTTCTGCTATTATCTGATTTTTCATAATTTTCAAATTAATTTAAAAAGTTCAATTTGATTGTTTTCATTTCTGGATAATACATAGTTATAATTTCATGGAGTAATTCGTTTTCCAATAACATTTTATTGTAATAAATTGCAATATATTTTAATAAAAATATTACTTAAACAATTGATCCAACTTAAGCTAAAATTTAACCTAGTTTGGGTAGTGTTATAGTTTCTACAACAGAGATATTATCAATTCTAAATAAATAACAACCAAAACTTTTGAATTCATAATTTTGTTTTGACATTTAACTAACAACTTAAGAAGTGAAATCATTACCAACTTATTAATGAACTAATTCATAATTATTTAAGAAATAATAATTTTGATAATTATTGAATAATATTCCACTATCAATATTAGATTATTATTATTTAAGCATCACTTATGAATATAAAGGTTTAGATGGTTCTAAGGCAGTGTAATATTATTTTTCAATTTCTTCTAATTGTCCTGTAGAATACTCAAGTTAATTTAATTTAATAGTTAAAAATAAAAATCCATGAAATTTAGATAAATACTCTGTTATTACATTTTCATCAGCACAATAACTTCCAGACACAGAAGTTAAATTAGAACAGCTTTCTAAAACTAATAATAATTATGTCATTTCCTAACGATCATTATTTATTATATCTTAATGGTTTAAAACGATAGTTCCGTTATTTATAGATATTTTAAATGGTTTTTCTTCACTACTAAATAATGGAATTGGTTTATCAACAATAGTTGTATTTAAAATTCTATATAAATTAGGAGTGATTATATTATTTTCTTTTCTAAATGGATCTACATCACCTAAAAAATCTTATAATTCTAATTGAATAATTGAGTCTGACAACTGAAATTCAGCATATGATAAAGTTTATTATTTAAAACTCACAATAGGAGGTATTTAATGGTCTATCCATAATACTATTATATATAAAAAATATGCTAAGCAAATGCTTCCAATAAAAAGAGTAACTATTCCACCAAGCTTACTTTAAAATAAGGGAGCCTTAGCATTAGTTAAAAGACTTATTGGAACCCCGAAAATATCAATTTTATCAATAGTATTTAGTATTTTGTTCATTTTAATTTAATAATAAATTACTGATTGAATAACTTAGAAATATATATGATGATTATTAATTTATAGATTTTATTAATTTTACTTCATAAATATGATCTTTCTATAAAATATATTTAAGGTTTAATTAATTACACTTAGCTGCTAACTTATTAACTATTTTTCATATGACTAAATCTAATATTTAGTTGAATATTATATAATCCATTCCACAATTATTCTACAGAAAATCTTATTATTGAGATCAACCTTAATTTTAATGGATAAAGTTCATTTCAGATTTTACAGATTGGGCAATATTAATTAAGTTTTCTATAGGCCATTTTTTCAAAATTATGTTTGCTTTATCTTTTCTAATTCAAAGTTTTCTATCATATTGTTTTACTCAATTATGGTATATATTATAATCCAAATTATGTTAATATTTTCTTTCAACATAAATGGATTAGATCTTTTTTATTGAACTCTATAACTTATAATCTACTTATTGAGAAAAATCATTTTTTTATTTGATGCTTTCATTTGAACTCTAAAATCAGTCTCTATATTTTTTATATTCTAGTTTCAAAATTAGATTCATTTAGTTTTAATTTGGCAGATTTCTCAATTTTATTAAATCTTATTTAGTTATCCATACTATTATCAGTTATTTATAATTACATATTCTGTTAATTGATATGATCAAATCCTTGAAAAGGATAGTTTAACATTTAAAATATTGAAAAATTTTTCTTATTTGAGTAGTATCAAGACTTATAGCATTAAATATTTATAAAAATATATATATGATATTAATTAAGAATACAATACCCAAATAAATATTAACATTTTTATTTTAGAATACTAGTATTCTTATTGTTATTAACACATGAAATATAAATTAAAATCTCCAATTACAAGATTAATAAGAATAGTACAATATCTATAATATCCTATATTAAAATACTATTTGATTTAATTTGAACAGAATTTGAATTTAGATCTCTATTCAATCAATCATCATAATCTATTTCAAATTAATATAGATAAAATTTTCATTGATTTGATTTAAATTTTCCATTTATAAACGAATCCCATTTGAAATGGCATCCTTCAATATTTATTAAAATTAATTTAACAAATAATATTATTTTCTTTATCAGGACAGGTTTTAACATAATAATCTTTTTATAAAGATTCATATATATTTGGATTTTAATAGATTATCAATAGTTAAATTTACAATTAACACTTCCTATTAATTTAACATCCATCAATATATTTATAGATATTACCTCATAAGACCCTTGATTAATATAAAGAGAACAAATATTCCAACCTTTTTGAATAGGTATCACAATATTAAAGACAAGAATAATATAATTATATTGATATTTAATTATCATTAATTTCACATTCTAATTATCCAATTGCACATAGTAAATATGATAAGTCTATTAATTTATATTTTGTATCACATGTAAACAATTTGTTGAAAGAAGACCATTATATTTAGCAATATAAATCACATATATTTAATATTTGGGAAAAATCCATCACCAAAATTACTTTCATCAATAAAGATTATCAAATAAGATCATCAGAATTAACTTAACAATAAAATTATATTAAATAACACGATTCTATCCAGATATTTTAGAAACATGTTTGATGTTTTTTGGGATTCAAAAATTAATTGTATTTAATATTTTCAAATTTTGAATCTGTAAATTATCATTTAAAGAATCTTTTGAACCAGTTTAACAAATGAATTGTTTATTTAGACTATTCTGTTTGTCCCTACTCTACATAATTAATATATTAACAATGATCATAATTAGAGGTTATGCTCTTTTCATCTTTAAAAACATGATGTTTAAGCAATTCAAGATATTACTTATTGTTTTTAGATTCTAACATAAAAAATTGTAAATAAATTTTAAATTAGCACAATTATATTAACTGAATGGCAATAACATAATCAGCTATTTAATTTCATGGGCTAATTACAAATTGGGGAGCTATTGTAAAATTGTCTTGCTTATTCCATCTGGTAATAATATAATAACGCATACTATGCATAAGAAACTATTCAATTAACTCCTTAACAATCTAAAAAGATAAGATTAGATTTTGAATTTCTACTTAAATATTACAATCCTAATATTTGTATCCGTATATGTAGATGGCATCAAGTTCTTGTTGCCTATTTATGAAATAAGAAAAAATAGTATAATGATGTATATAATTATCTGGAATAGTCACAATTTCAGTCATTTTAATAACAATAAAAATTTAATACTAATTATTCCTATTTCTTGTGCTAAACAATATCCTTTGAAGCAAATATAAAAATATTAGTCAGCACAATAATAATTTCTATGATATATGGTGAATGAATGATTCATGAATTCAAAAAAATATTTATTTATTATCTTAGATGATAAAAATAACAAATAAGATATAATAATTAATCAGAATTGCTTCATTAAAAAATATTAAAATATTACAACATCAACCAATTATAATCTACCTATCACTTATAATATATAATCCATTCATTATTTTTCAATTAAATTTTAACAATAAATTAGTTGTGTTTTAGTTAAATGTCACTAATACTTTGAAATATGTATGAGATATATGTATTTACAAAAATAAAGATTAATTTTAGATTGGCTTTAAAATAAGTTTAGATTAGATATATCAGAAATAAAAATATTTTGATTAGACTTATCCAATTAGGATTTGTTAAATTTATTTTCTAATTATTAAATACTTTTTGATTTAACTTACTTTAATTAAGTATTCAAAAGAATAATGATTTATCACAATATAATTAAAATCTTTAAATTTTTATTCAATAAGTGTAAAGTTTATTTTCTCTATATATTAATATCATTTAGAATTAGAATAGGTAACGTTTACTCAAACTATTTGCTAATATCGCATTTATAGAATTTAAGATAACTTTTATTCATCTCTTATTTCTATTAATATAAATCAAAATGCATATTTAATTACAAATAATTAAGAAATAAAGTATTTCATTTATAAATTGCCAAATATTTTATTCTGCTTATTTTATCTGATTAAAGAACTCTTACGAATAACAGCAGGAAAAATTAATAATTAATAATTTTGTAATATATTAAAATTCAAGTATTCTTTTTTAAGACAAAAATAAAATATCTGATAGAAGCTGCTAGAAGAAATTTAAGTTATAGTTTTATTTTTCACATAATTAGGCTTTATTGAAGTAATTTATTCAAAAAATAAATTATTTAAATATAAAAATAAATTCTTTTAATAATACTATAATATATTTTTATTATGATATTTAAAAAATCTTCATTATTATAATGCTAATTGTCTTATCGTGATATATTCTATCTATTTCATTGAAATTTCGATTTAGATAGCTGGAACATAACTTATCTAATGTATGCTTTTGAATTACGAATAATTGAACACACAGACATAGTTGAGCTGTTTAAGTTATTAATAATTTATAAATGATATATCTTTACTTATTAATGGAGTGAGAGCAATGAAATAAACTTTTAGTTCGTATATTATATCATTAATAACAATGAATATGTAAATTTATAAAATTTCTAGATGAACATCTTAAAATTGAATAATAAGAATTAGATAAAAATGAATGCAATATCTAATGGAGTATTATATGAATAAATGAGATTAATCAAATATAATTGGTTTTAAATCTCGAATTATATATCATTTTTCCGTTAAATAAATATTGTAATGAGTTTGCTGATAAAGTATTTCCTACATTTTATATTAAAAATATGTAAATGATGTCAGAACAATAGCTCCATATTGCAAATCTGAAATCAAATAGGATAATGTTTAAACTAAAAAATTAAAAGATGATTTGAAATATTTTATTTAAAAATTCTTTCATATAGTTACTAATTCCAAAATTAAATTCATATTTTTTTGATGATTTCTTTATATAAACAAGAGACCCTAAATTTTAAGAATTGGAGCCAGGTGCATATTGTAGTTAAACATAAAACCATGAATTCTAAATTATTTACAATAAGAATTGTAATATAATATTTTTTAGTCTTTTTCTAATTATTAATAACAATCAGTGTAATAAATTTTATTACATAATATTTGATAGGTTAGTTAATGAATATACTAAGCATTATATTATTCATTTCTAAATATGATGAAAAATAATAAATTGTGTGATTAATATTTTTGAGCTAACTTCAGGCTATTAATAATTAGATAATATCTTAATTTATTATTTAATATAAAAGATTTTTATGGGTTAACTTTTATTGCTCCTTTTATCTTGTGTATGTGTTAGATAATAATCATTCTTAAAAACACTATCACCAAGGAAATAATATTACAAAATCGACTTTAATAGAGAAATATTTAAGGTAAATAATCCTTAATGCTATTATTATGGAATTTATACAAGATATAATCCTTTGAGTGATATTCAACAGGTAGGAGATATTGGAATTTTAGACAGCAATTGCTTTCATATCTATAGTGCCATAGATAAAATATCAAATAGGGTTAACTTCTTATATTATGATTGTATTGATTATGAGAATCAGTAAATAGTAAAATCATATACATTTATTGGAAATGATGGTAAAGTTGTCACACATTCATATCAATTAAAGACTTAAGAGTATGAATCCTATTGGTACTTCTTGGGTATTATGGTTAAACTAATTGAAAAAAAAGTTTCAGTTTCCTTCTTTTAAAATCTATAGTTATTAGATACATAAGAATTTGATATCTAATACCCAAATTATGATACGGATTTAATCTTTATTTATGGTGGAGGTTTATTAATAAATATAAACTAGATCATTTTTAATGAATAAATCTCTAAACTTTCATTTTTTCCAGGAAGTTATTTCCTTTTATTTCCATCATTCGCTAGTACAATCAGTTAATGTTAAGAATCATATTATTATAATGAATTAAAATATGCATAGTTAACTTGTAGATGTAAATTGAATAATGTT